TGGTGATCATAATGACGAATTGAACAAGTAACGATTCTGCTGACAAGTCTATACGTGGATCTAATAGACTCTTATAGGTTGGATTATATTTCTGTAAGTCAAATAGTCGTACACTTAATGTTATTGGCTAAACTGAATACCTGAAACATAAACAGTAGGTTTATAATATAGTTGAGTCTTGTTGTATTACGTTCTGCTTGTCTGCCTCCTTGTAAATCACTTGTATTAAATCAAATGTATTGGGTCATTCTTGACGAATGCAATCAAGTTCTAAATTATGAACTTCGTAATACTGGCGTTATATCGGGTAGAAAGACTGTTAAGAAGTAAGTAGTTTTAGATACCTGCTTCGTCATGTTTTGTAACTCTTCATTCTTTGGGACTTTTATTATCGTTTCTTTTGAATTCCATAGTTAACTTTGGTCTCTCCACTGATTGATTTTTTGATGTTGTTCTTTTACTTACTGTAACGGAGTGCGTGATTGCCACTTACCCCCCACAAAGCTTGCTTTCTCACTAAAAAATAGAGTAGTTGTCATGAAATCCCATATTAACATGTTCCAACATATAATAACAAATGGAATTCACTACCATCCCCAAATTTTAACATTTCCATAATCAATAGATTTCGATCAGAATCGGATGTATTAATACATAGTGAATTCCAATTTTTTTGTATCAAAGCCATCTTTAAAATTCACAAAAATAAATTAATTAACTATTAGCTGATCAGTTAGATAATTTAAAAATATCATCTCTTTGTAGAAAGGAAAAGAATCTTCAGAAGTAAAGCAACATATTACAAAAAAATTAGAAAAGTTTGGTCTTTGTTAAGCTAATAATATAAATGGACTAGAAATTGAAGATATCTAGGATTTCATTCTAAGGTATTCTACAGTCATCATAATCTTTTTACCTTATTACAATAAATATATAAAGGAACTTAGTAAACTAGCAGAATATCCTCTTTGTTTACCGATGATAAATGAATACGATGTATTATATCTTGACGAAAACTGTTAGAAGTATGTGCATAGTATGTTTACTAATTTGCTAAATTTTTTTTGCAGAAAAGAGAAAAAGACGCATTTGAAGTTAAAAATGGGAACAGAATAGCTACAATTATTTTTTATGTAAGTGTTATTATTTATTAGTTAGTTCCACAGGTAACTTTACATTTATACTTTCAGTCGGAATTGAACAGCCAGAATTATAGTTTTTATTAAACTCCTGAAATAATTTCGGTTTTTAATATTTTAACTGGCTTGCGATTATCCAGAGCCAATTTGAGTATGGAGGTCAGGACAGTTTATTCAACTGAAGAACTGAAGTTAGTGTGTAGACTGAAACCGTTATACACGTTAGCTACATAAGAAAGAAGTTATACAAGAAAGACTTGACAAGAAATAATAATGATTATAATAATGAAAATAAATATTGGGAATTTTACTGCTCTTAGGTTTTACGTTAACTGAATCTTTTCGATTTCTGTCAATTCACTGCATGTTTTCAACATAGTACTAGAAACGTAAATGGATGGAGAAAACTTAGTGGATTCTGTTACGCCGAGTATAATTATCTTCATTCCTAAGACAAGGATGAGAGGAACAGTATCTAATGTGAGAGTCATATTGAACCGGCACATTCTGTAGCGCAATTAAGCTACTGATATGATTAATGTACCTCCTATGATCCTAGATTCTTTAAATAGATAGAAAGATTACAGGAATTAGGTAAGTTTTATGCAAGATGGGGACCGTTCGTTAAATCTTATTATTGTTGAGCACAGGAAATAGTAAAGGCTAAGGTCTGAATCTGGACAATAGGCAATACTTCTGAAGCAATACTAGATCCAATGCAACTAAATAGAATGATGGCTAATAAAAAACAATCATTACTACACCCGAGTAAGGAAACAGAAGACTTTGCGAAAGAGCTTTTATGTCTCGCGTAAACACAACAAGATAAGTAAGTAGTGTTTTGCAAGACAAATTGACCGATAGAAATAGGTTCCAATTAAATGGGATTCCCATGTTTGGGACTGGCAGTGTTCATAGAAGTTCTTCAATGTCTATTTATTTGAATATACTGTGTGAATAGTTTTTAAGCTATACTCATCAAAATCAGGTCTACTTCTTTCACCTTAATGTATCTTCATTTTCATATTCCAAGCAATTTTACCCTGGATTTATAATTTATAATTATTGTAACCGTGAATATCTTTGTTTAGTTTCCATCTGTCAACAACATAATTACTTCTAATTCAAAGCTTCGTTTCATACCTCAACAAGTTTACTGATTATTTAGAAAAATAATCAGTAACAAATAAATACTCCTTATCTACTGTAAAAGAACATTTGCATTCTAGTCCATTGAGTGATGTAAGATTTACAAATATGTACACCACTACAATAAGATCATCTTGGTAAGATTATCTAGAGGAACTGTGAATCACTGAAATATAACACGTTAAGATTTTTTAGGTTCTATGATCTTATTGCGTAAAAATGAGAATCTTTTTTATTTATCGCCGACTGCGCTTAGTTCACATTAAGAACAATTTTCTGAGTGTAAGATTTAGGTTATGTAAGTAAAAGATGAAGTGAATGACTTTCACTTTGGTGCATCTGGAAATTATATCGACTTCATTACATGATTTCCCATGAAGAAAAAACCAACATGTCATCAATGGAGTTCGCTGTAGAAACTGATCCTATCATGTTATTTCTGGACATGATTTTTGATTGTTAGCTTTTGACAAAATACCAACTTGTCGTCACCACAGCACTGTGATCGACAGTAGTTGTCAAACAAAATTATAGGACATAGTCTTATGAAATTAAAAATTATACCATATGTTATACTAGCATACACTGATCATTTCTTCATAAACTATAAATTTCGAGATAATACCTATGTTTTCAAGTTTCATGTAACGAAACAGTACTTGATACTTGGCAGCGATTCCACTAACTATTAGTCTAATTCCATTTCGTTTATTTCTCAGTTGCTCATTTTTGTGACCTATCCGTTAAGCACAGGTTCAAATTATTTGTGTAACGGTTAATCATATTATCCGTCTCTCCAACCTAAGGTAGGTGAAGCACATGTTGAAACTCCGATCTATTATTCGAAAGTTAAGTACTTCATCGTTCTAACGTTAAAGTTAACACCTATGCATTGTAGTATGCAAAGTGTGTACGGAGTTTAAAAAAGAAACTATTTCTTTGTAAATGTACATTTTAATCGTTTAAAGATCCCCATCATATTAAATGTACATTTCTTAATGTCTATTTGGGATGGATAAATTAAAATTCATAAACAACCACACAATTTCACAGTTTTGAAGCACTGAATGGCTGTTTACAACCTGTTAGCATCCCATTTACTTAAGCCACCGTTCTTTAACAATAACTTATTCCACTTCATCATTATCTCTTTTATCAGTGTCTCTTGGTTCACTTATTGCCTTTGTGTGTCGATATCTTCTATAGTCCATCTATACTTTGGTGTAACACACAATCACATCAAACTTATCAATTTATCAAAGTCTCCCACTGAGTAAGTGAAGGTGATTTCTACTCTTTAGTTATTATTTACTTCTATGTGAATTTTCAGTGATAATCATATCTGTTATGATATAGAAGTGTATGTCCAGCCAAAACAAAAAAGAGCTGTATAAGAACTCATTCTGAGATCTAACTGTCACTGGGATGAAGAACAATTTTTCGATCAGTTTATAATTACGTGAAAATTCTTCCTAGTTTCTTTCTTTTCCATTTAAAAATTTCACGATTTCTAAATAATTGGTCAACGCTTATGTTACATACTCAACATGAAATTCTGAATGTTGATGATTTAAACGTCAGCTCTTTTTATACTTCTAGTTATCTGATGTACAAGCAGGAGGAGCCACTGTATTTAACCGTATCGGTACACGTGTAGTCCCTAAAAAAGGAGCTGCTGGCTTCTGGTTTAATCTTTTGCCTAGTGGAGAAGGTGACCTACGAACTAGACACGCTGCTTGCCCAGTTTTAGCTGGCTCGAAATGGGTAATGAATCTATGGTTTCATGAACGCGGTCAAGAATTTCATAGGCCATGTGAATTAGAGCGTGGGGCAATTGAAACAGATGATGGTTTTTAAATATAATCCAGCTTTATTCCTTTAGAAATTATGCATCTACTCAATTATTTGTTCGTTGTTTTGTTTTATATTCATTATGTCACTACTAACTAAGCTAAGCATTGATGATTTTGTTAAATCACTTTCGAAATGTTTATTTTCATTCAAAACAATAAATTAGCACATTAGTGAATACTTCAATGTGTAAAATATAATCAATTTTAATCGATTTCTTTTTCTTTGCTTCCCTGCACTAAATAATCTGCTTACTTTCTAAAAAAGAAATGAGCAATCTACTGGTACATATGGCTTATACATATGATGACTCATTGTTTATTATTAAGCAGTTGAATTTATAATGGATTTTTTTTCATATTCAAATGATAATTGGACGGAATGTTAAGTTTTTTTTTACCATAAATTGATTTATTAGTGTATATGTTTCGCAAACTGGAGTTAGTCAATTCATCGAAGAGGAAAAACAAAAAGATAAGAACCAATTAAACAAATACCATTTGATTTCAGAGTAATGACTATCATCGTTAAAGAATCCTTTATACTATTACACTTTAAATATGATATACTTAATAACAGCTCTGCAGGACAATCATTTCATAATTAGGTTTTGGTATTGAATTTTCATGCATTAATTATTAATAATGAATATATGGTATCAATAATTACTATTTAATCTACCTTGTGGTGCTACAATCAACTGATAACGGCTAACAGATCATGAAATAAACATTTGCTGAATACATTACTTCGTTTAAGCCCTGATTTTCTGCCTTAATTTCCGGCTGTTTTTTTAAAAAATTAACTTGACGCTATAACAATAGCTTGTAAAGTATTCAGATAAATTACAACTATATTACCTTTGTTGCTCATTTGTTCATTGACTTGTCGCTTAATAATAACCTAGATCGCAATGTTCAGTACGAACTAAGGTACAATTTTTAGTTCATTCAGAATACACATAACCTAGATCCTGAATCACTCACCAATTGAGCATAAAACGCATTGTACTAATCGAGTATTTTTGTTCATTTGGTGGATAAAAAGAAAAGTTTAAACTTTCACTTTATCGAAACAGAATTCTGTCGACTTCTTGTTTTGGATTTTAATCCATTATGATGTGTGACAGCTATTTTTAAATGGAAAATTTTAATAAACTTTATTTAACGACAATAAGGAAATGTTAGGGATAGTGTTAATTTACAACCTGGAAAACTTAAAATTAAGTGAACTTGTTAAAACGACATAAAAATCTAACACTGCATCACGTTAGTTCAAATACAAAAAGAGATGTGAAATAATGTATTTAGGGTTTAAATGAAGTCTACCAAATATAACCGATTCCAAGCGTAGACAAATCAAGAAATTAGAGAGCATAAAAACAGAAAACATCACCAACAAAAACTACTTCTAATGACCTAAGGATGGTTCATGATCCTTCACACAGAACTCTTAGTACATACCAAATCATTCTGTTAAAAGAAAAATTAAACCTAATTTTACTTAGAAAACCTCTCAGCACTCCAAAGATCACTCCAATCCTACAACCGATATACAAGATATTTCTGGACAAAGAGACACATGCATCATAACACTTTATCTAGTAGATGTTAACTAAGCATTAGTTTAATCATGAAAGCAATCAAATTATGCTTGAGTTCAACGCGTTCCACGATCAAAGGGAATTTCCCTGATGAAACAAACGGAAAGACCATGGGATCTCCGTTTATGGTTAGTCTATTTATATCTCGTATGAAGTCGCTTACTTATGCCGGTACCATTAGATCAAACTCAAATATGTAGATTCTCGCCAGAAATTTCTCCTAACTAATGAACACATTCTCAGATCACATCAAATTCACTTCTGGAAAGGAAGATGAGCATAGTGAACCACGTCTCCCCGACTATTTAGTTAACGAAAATTCTTACGGAAATCGAAATATAACCATATACCATAATCCGACACATTTAAGTCAATGGATTTCAACTCGACATCTATTCAAAGCGGAAATTTACTTGGCGAGGTTCAGAATAGCTACTAAGGTCATTGCTTGAGAAGATAAACTAAAGGAGAAAAAAAAGATATGATGAACATCTTATGATTAGGTAATTTTTCTATATGATTGACTGCACAAGACTCACTTGGTGTACGTATGATAATTAGAAGTATTCGAATTAATGTACTAACTGAAAATTCTCGAAATAGTACAATTTAAAGCAAGTAGATCCTGATGATCAAAAGTGAATCTATTATATTTGGAATTCGTAACCGGTGGGCAATCAAGTACAAAGGAATCATTAGGTCGTACAGATACCACATCTTGAATAGGCATCCAAATATCTGTAGTCGATTATACTTTTCCTTAACCCCATCATGTGCCTGTCCGGCTGTGTATTGGGTATAGACTCCATGTGATTTAGAATGTACTCATTAGTATTAGAATTAACAACTAAAATTGGAACAGACGCACCTGATTCCTTAAAACGTATTCGGTTGTTTTGACTGGCTCGTATATGAAACACGGGTTTATTGGCCTGTTTTAGCAGACCTATATGTTGTGGAAAACCAGTTCCTGAATGAGGACATTTCTGCTCAGGCAGTTACATCATCGTTCCTTTTGCGTACAGTCTGGCAATTCCCCACTAAACGACTTTATCTACTCTACTCTCCGGGTCTTCGAATATTGCAGCAGCAATGAAGTTGACGTTTGTTTCCAAAAATTTGAAATTTCTTGCTTGCACATGAGAATGAAGGGACTTTGGAGTCGTGCGTATTTATCCACACTTCAGTTCCGTGGCTAGTAAGTTGTCAACATTCTAACTGAATTATTAGATTTGATGCTACCAATGTCAACAATAAAGTTGTGGAAAACACCGTTGGACAGATACAGTCGTTTTTTAATATGATACAAATCACTTGATGGTATTGTAGCAGTAAATAAATCCCTAAAATCAACAGCTCTGTAAGTCTTCGGCATTGGATACTGACCACATTAGTCTTAATGCACTCACCTAGCTGAAGGCACTCGGTCGTGTATCCGCACCAGATCACGAGTTGGAACGCCGTGCTCAACAACCCCTTCAATCGCTAGCCAGATTAGATCAGACGATCCTCGATATATTGATAGCCTATCAAATATATCTTCGAACCTCCTCACTTCTGTCTTTTGATTTTTCTTGGTGAGTACGAGTTATATTAGAAGGTGTTACTGGTTATAGCGTTGTCAAACATTGAATACCTGTGGCATCTTTAGTGTGAATGCCTTGGTGCTGTCGAAGTTGGGGGGAGTCCGCTGCCCTTCATGAAATGCTCCCACAATGCCACGCATATAGAGCCACTGCCTTCTCTAGTTGGGGTGTAGTTCACGAAATTGAGGGGACGAAAATTGAGTGTCCGGAGTCCGAACGGGGTCGGTGGACAAGCAGGACTCAACTAGGTGAGTTGGAAAACCCTGATACCAGGATCCCGAGAGAATAAATGGCGTATAAACCTATTGTTGGTCATTGGCCACCATGGGATTGCTCCTCCTAAATTTGCTCCACGACTTAGTGGACTAAACCTTTAGGTCAAATACTTGGGGTGTGGCCCCCTGAGGAAACCACCTGCTCCAGTTTGGGCACCCAGGGAATATTCCTGCCCTCACACAAATCAAATGACGAAGTGCGGAGCATATATATGGTGCCTACTCGTACCGATGTTTATTTGTTTAAATAAATAAATTAAAGTCACTAAAATTAATGGAATCGGAATTGAAAAGTTTGCTATTACTTGCAGCGACATAAATAGTACGTTTACAAACAAACTGGATGTGTCAAGACGACTAAGCAAAGTGGTGGAAAATGTCACTGACTGGAAATCAAGCCCACTTGCTGCATCATAGTTAATGCATGCTGTTTCAATTTCTTGGAATGAACTTTTGGTTTCTCAAATAATTCTCTAGAGATAGTGGAGAAGATTTGTAGCTCAAATGGATGGTTTTGATGGAGTTTTGTTCTCTGAGCTGGATGGTTTGGTCGTGGTGCTTTCATCGTTCTTCTGAACGACATCATCAGCACAAACTTCAGATAGAAGTGAAGTGTTCGAATTTCTCCATATGTGTTTCACAGCTTGTTCTGTATACCTCGACGTTGATTGGTTCTTATTGACCTTAAATTTGTCATTGTTTACTTCCTTGTTTTGGTTGTCTCCCATTGGTTTGATTTTTGTTCCTATATTTGTGCAAGATTTTCTTGATTGGTTGGTAAATTAGATTGATTTCAATATGCTTGTTGGTTGCTGATTGACCTGACTCAGGTCAAACCATCCAGCTCAGAGAACAAAACTCCATCAAAAGAATTAATTCTCTTTCTAAATTCGGAATATTTATCCCAGCAGCCAACCGATCACCTTCGCCTGGAGTCCCTCCGGGGGCTACTGTCGGTCCCAAGGACGACGGTTGGGCATGGGGTTAGCGTCCCCGTCTCGCAGAAAACTAACTCGCTAAAAAAACGCTAACTGGAAAAAATTATTCAAATCTTTTAAACTCTGCCGTGGGAATCAGAAGGTCTTCATTTAGAAGAACTATGACGCCTCATAATGAAAACCGAGTTCCTTCAGAAGTTACGAGGCCGATGCCCCTTCTAACAACCAGAGCAACCATTTATTTAGGTACATGGAAGGTTCGTACAATGTGGGACACCGGGAGAGCTTTACAAATTGCTGCAGAATTGAGAAGATACAGTCTAGAGGTGCTTGGGATCAGTGAAACACATTGGACGCAAGTTGGACAACAACGACTAACTTCAGGAGAGCTCCTGTTATACTCCGGCCATGAAGAAGAAAATGCCCCACATACACAAGGAGTTGCATTGATGCTGTCCAAACAAGCACAAAATGCACGTATAGGATGGGAATCTCATGGACCAGGGATCATTAAAGCCTCATTCAAAACAAAGAAAGAGGGCATTACAATGAACATCATCCAATGCTATGCGCCTACCAACGACCACAATGAAGACGCTAAAGA